TTATGTACCATCATTATCCCCATTTTACTGATGTAGAAACTGAGGCATGGTTTAGACAATGTCCCCAAGGTCTCAAAGCTAGAAAGTGCAGAAGCTAGAATGCAACACAGGTTTGTCTGGTATCAAAGCCTGAGCTCTTTGTACACAGCTCTGCTCGTTCCCAGGCTAGAAGAGAGACTGTTCTACCACATAAGGCCTCCCCCCCCTCCCTGCAGACTCCAAGTCCAGGCTCCCTGGAATTATACAGAGTACTCCATCACCCCCAAAACACACACATACCTGTACACACACATACATACACGCACAGACACACAAACACACACACACACACAAACACACACACACTCATTCTGACCTGGCGGGGACCTGGTAAGGCAGGAAGTTGGCCGAGTCCATTAATGTCACCGAGCACAACGCATATTTATGGCCCCAATTACAGCCTCCATGAAGGAGCTGGAATGGCAACAGGAATACTTGTGTGCACTGGGGTCTGAGGCCTCTGTAGCAATAACTACAAGAATACAGAGATGTTAGCAAACCCTGGTGATGGCGGCCCTATTTTAATGATAAATCTACAGCTTCATATAGAAATAATGAGACTGGGGGCTGGAGAGGGGGGCAAGGGAAGAACAGAATGATTTCAGCCAATCGAAGTTCTGTGTGGAGAGAAAATGGCAAACCACGGGGAATGCCCAGGAGACCACCAGAGGACCTTAGTCAAGCCAGGCAAGAGGTGGGAGCCTCAGTGGCAGACCTGCCCATGCCTGAGCTTCTTGATTCCAGGGAACAGCAGAGACCTCTGACTGTCCTAGCATATCTTGTTTGCCTGTTTCTCACCCTCTGGTGGGGTGTATGTTAGCTCCATTACAGCCTAGGCTTCCATCCAGAGCAACCTGGGGATGCCGAGGGGAGTGGCCCTTGGGGCTTAAGATTTGCAATTAACAAAGGGCTAGCCTCCCCAGATGAACACCTCCCCTTCACTAGCCTTGAAGCTCCATGTTCAGTGGTTGTAATAAAACAGCACCAATGCTCCAGGCTTTGATACTCCAGACCATCTTGGGCACTGGGGCCGGGGCCAAAACAAGGAACCTGCCTGGTTCCACCTGCCAGGGCTGCACCTGATTCTCCCATACAAGTGGGAGAAGTACCAGGGGGACAGCATTCATGGACTCCTGTGACATCAGGGCAGCCTCCTGAGCCCACTTCTCACAGGGCCTCTCCTTCTACCCAGACTATTGGTCACTGACCCTCCACTTCAGTCCAGACTGTGTGTCCCTGACCCTCCACTTCAGTCCAGGCTCGTTAATCTCTTTGCTACTCCAGACATAAACCATCTACCCGAACCATCTCTCTGCAGGAAGGCACAGCCCAGGTCTCTCCCCACCATGCCTGGCTCTACTCACTTTCAAAATACTACTTGACTTTCTCCTCCAGGAAGCTTCCCAGGTTAACTGCACCCAAATTCCATTGCTTCTTTAATAATCCTTTCCTTGTGCACCAATACGTAGTTTTGTTTGAATTAACTAAGCCATCTGTCATTCAACAAGAACGTGCTGAGTTCTTACGTTTGCATAAAATGACACGCTCAGCCCTGAGGGAAAACACAAGAGACAGTCAAATGTGGGACACAATCCATTCCTGAGCCACTGGGGACTCTGCAAGGCAGAATATGACTCAGTGTATAAATGAGGGACCCAGAAAATAAATCCAGACGAGTGATTGCTGTGAGAGCGGAAGGACTTCAGGGAAGCTTTGAAAGGTGGATTGGTTTGGGCCACGCAGAGCGGCGAGGGAAAAGCCTGTCTGCCAGAGGAAACCTTGGGAGCAAAGGCAAGAGGCAGAAATGCTGGACGTTTTCAGCGACCAGCCTGCAGGCCGGAGGAGCTGGGGGCCAAAATGCAGCTCTAGGAAGGAAATCTGGCAGGAATCTGGCATGCAGGAAAGATGGGAGCCGGCTGTGCTCATGTGCACCGCGCCCCACGATGCTGGCTGCAGGATTTCATGTACACTGAGTGCTCAATCATTCCCCGTTACTAGGGCTTGGGCCTCTCTGGCCTCAAAATAATTCCAATTTTAGAGTAAGCACAGGTAAAAGCACCAGCCTTTTATTTCCTTTTCCTTTCCTTTGTCTGATTCCTCACCCCCCAGGATAAAGAGCCCACCCCTGAGAGCTGGCCTGCTGGAGAGGCTGTGGATGGGAGGGCCCCAGCGGCCTCATCAGGCAGAACATTCAGTGCAGACAAACTGCGAGCAGACAGAGAGTGTGAGCAAATCACCTGATCTTCTGCTTCAGAAACTCCTGGGCCCAGACTCCTCCTGCTTTTGACTATCAAGTTATATATACCAGTCCCTCCCTACCCACCTGAATTCTCTCCTTCCCCACCCAGGAAACCTTTCCTGGCTGTCCTAACTCTCAGATCTTACAGCCTCACAGTATTTGCTACTTTGCATCACTAGCTACTGCATTAAAGTTCTGTGGGTGAAAGAGACTGTCTTCTATCCCAGCCCCCCTTGCTCCCCAGTTCCCGGCACAGTCCGGCTTAGGAGGAGATGGAGGAGGGCTAGAGTGGTACTGACTGAGGATGATGAGGGTGGCAATGATTTGTCCAGCTCCTTTCGGACGATCTGCCTTTTTCTGAAGCTGGGCTGAGGAAGGAGTGTGGGACGAGTGCAGGGACGGCCACGGAATTCTAGGATGTAGGAAGTTAGCATTCAGGTGAGGGTCATCCTTGGGCACGGACCGCATGCTCCAGGACTAGGGCTTTCATCGTGCCTGGAGCTCAAGTTACAGGAAAGGGAGGCCTCTAGAGAGGAGAAGGGAGGCTCTTCAGAGGGCTGAGTTGAGCCCTGCTTCCCACAGCCCCTGGCCCTCACACCTACCTCTCTCTGAGCACTTGGGCCTCAGCCTCAGTATGGGGGGGGGGGGGGCTGAGCTGCTTTCCTCTCCCTGTATAGTCACGATAATGAAGCTGCTGCCTTACGAGACCACAAGGGAAGAGCTGCACCAGATGTAAACTTCAGAGTGATTTATAAAGCGGAGCTCTTGGGCTTCAGGTTGGCACACAGCTGCTGTTCCAGCCCGCCCCGTCTGCCCGCCCTGTCTGCAGGCCCCGCTGCTTGTGCTGTTCTCGCGGATGACATTTCGGGAGAGCAAAAGTAGGGGAGGCACTGAGACATCGGACTGGGCTGCTCAAAGTCAGCAGCAGCTAGGAGAATGGGCTGTCCCAGAGACCTTCTCTGGAGCAGAAACGGAGACCACGGGACTGAGCTGCTTTCCTCTACCTGTATAGTCACGATAATGAAGCTGCTGCCTTACGAGACCACAAGGGAAGAGCTGCACCAGATGTAAACTTCAGAGTGATTTATAAAGCGGAGCTCTTGGGCTTCAGGTTGGCACACAGCTGCTGTTCCAGCCCGCCCCGTCTGCCCGCCCTGTCTGCAGGCCCCGCTGCTTGTGCTGTTCTCGCGGATGACATTTCGGGAGAGCAAAAGTAGGGGAGGCACTGAGACATCGGACTGGGCTGCTCAAAGTCAGCAGCAGCTAGGAGAATGGGCTGTCCCAGAGACCTTCTCTGGAGCAGAAACGGAGACCACCAAGCTTTCTCTCTTTGAACGAATCGATTCTTAGCCTTTTCCCACCAGAGTGGGGCTGATTCTCCCAGCCTCTCTCCTTACAAGTTCAGCCCATAGATATTGAGTATTGATTGTCTAAAGGGAGGGTCTGCACTCAGGGAAATAGTGCAAGAAATATCCCAGGAGACACTCAATCAGCGTTCAAGACACCAGACACAAGGCCATCGGTGTTTGGTGGCAACACCCCTGCAGGGCTCTCAGCTGCCTGGCTGGGCTTAGAGAGAGGCATGCCACCTACATCCGTGGGATGCAATTACACGGCTTCCTCAACTGCCACCCAGGGGACTGGAGAGCACTGTCTACACTGGACCAAAGGGCTCTGGAGATGCCCTCTCAACTCTCTGTGCCAAACCTGTCCTCCCTCTTAAAAGCCAACTTGAGCCCCAGCTCCGTGACACCGTCATGGTTAACTCCAGTTGATCATGAACAGCCAAGCATCCACTTCCCCCATGTGTGGATTAGCCAGGTCTCCCTTCAAGCCCCGCCGCGCTCCAACTCCCGGACTGGCCCAGGCAGGCAGGGCCTAAGAGCAGGGGCTCTGCTGCATGGTAGTCACTAGTGCTGGTCGTTAAGTACTTCCAGTCCCCCTTCTGGACACGTGGTAGGATTGCTTTGCCTGGCCCCCTTGATAGTAGGAGTTGCATGTGCCTTGCTTTGGCTAATGAAATATGAGTGAAAGTGACATGTGCCACTTCTGCATGGAGGCTTTCAGAACTAGCACACGATTTGCCACATCTTCCTCCTCCTCAGGTGGTAACTATAGGGGCACAGGTCAAAATGGAGCCTCTGTTGGCTTGGATCCCTAAGTAACAAGGAAGAATGGCTGAGCTGCAAAGCACACGTAAAATGAACGAGAACTAAACTTGGGCTGCTTTAAGCTACCAAATCCTAGGATCGTTCGTGGCTACGGCATAACCTGGTTTATCCCAATTAATACAGCCTGTTCTTGATTGCTTGTGCCGGGCTTCCAGTACCCACCAATGCCCATGGCTCACACTGCTATCTGAGTCAGTCTATGGGCCTGGCCCGATCCTTACCCATGACTAAAGACATATATTATTGTATAGGTGGTAGACCTGAGGCCTGCCAGGTAGAGAGAACCACTTCAGAACATGCAATCAGAAGCCATAGATATGTTCCCTTCCCTTCCCACCCACATGGGGGCTCTGCTCCCTGCCCCACCCCTCAACGTGGGCCCCAGGGCAAGGACTTCCCCAGAGTGGGCTGGGCTATTAGTCAGAGTTCCCTTCGTACCCTGAAGGGCAGAGGCCCGTTTGTCTCTAGGGGTGAGGAGGATGCGGGACACATCCCAGTCAAATCCAGGACTGCAAATCCTCAAGAAGCCCAGGGAGCAGGGCGGTACTCACACTGGTTGCGTACTGGATGTCCTTCCAGATGGAGGTTTCCTGGGACAGGTCAGAGGCCTCAAAGAGGTTGTCCAGGATGACCTCCCCGATCATGTCATGGCGGGAGAAGCGGTCAAAGTCGAAGACACTGAGATGCAGCTTGCGGTCAGCCAGCTCCTCATAGGGCACGGGGAAGTGAAAGTTCTCATCGAAGGTGGGGTTCAGGGTCTTGCGGTGCACCCGTGTCTGCAGCTTGCATTTGCGATCAGGCAAGAGGTAGATCTTGACGTAAGGGTCAGAGCTGCCACAAAAGTCCTTGGCGGGGAGGTCGAAGGCCTTCAGGACGCGCACGATCAAGGTCTCGTTCTCGTAGTCGTAGCGCAGGCTGAAGTTGATCTTCCCGCAGGTCTTGGCCTCGGTTTGGGCATCGTCCCCCTCCACTGACTTCTGCTTGTAGAGCTCGGGCTTGATGCGGCCAATGCTGGTGGGCTGCTCCGCCGCAGGGGGCAGCTCATTGCCGTAGTCCACGCTGGAGACATGCATCTGCCGTGGCAGGTGGCGCTTGAAGGACGTGTGCCTGGCGGAGGGCAGGAGCGGGTGAGAGAGTGAGGTGGGGGAAGGAGTGGGGGAATGCCGGCAGGCATGGCTCGGGGCCCTGGCTCATCCTACCCCTTGTGAGGCCCCCTTTTCCTCCTGCCAGTTGACCCCCTTTCCCTCTGCACACACTTGGTGTGCATGACTTAGTATATGAAAAGTAGTTGGAATGGAGCCTGGTACATAACAAGCTACAGTAAGTGTTAGCCATTGTGATCGTTATCATTTTTCCTGCTTTTCTACCTGCTTTCTAGGTTTCTTTCCTGGTAGGCATGACTCTGGTTCCCCCATTAAACCATAAGCTCCCTGACTGAGAAGGACCATCCTTTCCCACCCTCCACGTGGCATTCCTTCATCCCCACTACTACCATCCCCACCACCATAGTTAACATTTACTGTGCTTTGGAGTCAGACTGCATAGGTTAATTTCGGCTCTGCCACTTTCTAGCTGTATGACCTGGGGCAAGTTATTTAACCTCTCTGTGTTGTAAAATGAGAATAATAAAAGTAGCATAGGATTGCTGTGGGGGTGAAATGAATAAATACAATAAAGTGCTTAGAACAGGGCCAGGTATATAATAAGCTCTTTTTTTTTTTTTTTTTTTTTTTTTTTTTCGCAACCCGCG